TCATTACGACACTTGGATTAGACGTTCAGGTCTTCGGAGGGTCCCTTATACAGAATCCCTGTAGATCCCCTGACGGAACTAAACCCTCAACCCTAAACCCTAAACCCTAAACCCCAGACCCCAGACCCCAAACCCTAAACCCTAAACTAGGCCCCAAGACTTCAAACCGCAGGTGCCGACGACCTCGAGTACGCCTTTCCACTTCACGCTGTCACTTCGCCTCGCTATGCCTGAACTAGGCTGAATGTTCACAGTGTGAGTCCCTGCGTGTAGGTATATGCATCTCAATGCGCCCCTGTGTATACATGCACATACACACACATGTGTAAATGTGAGTAATACGTAAAATTGTGTGTATATATATATACATAAATATTTATATATATATATATATACATATGTATATATATATATACATACATATAGGAATATACGACCACACACGTATGTATATACACACAAGCATACACCATATATACACACATACACACTATATATATACATATATATATTACTATAGTGTATATACATGTATGTATGTCTGTATGTATGTATGTATGTATGCATGTATGTAGGTATGTAGGTATTTATGTATGTATGTATGTACCTATGTATGTATGTACGTATGTATGTATGCACATGCATGCATGTATGTTTGTTTGTATGTATGTATGTGTATGTGTATGTGTATGTGTATGTGTATGTGTATGTGCATGTGCATGTGCATGTGGATGTGTATGTGTATGTGTATGTGTATGTGTATGTGTATGTGTATGTGTATGTGTATGTGTATATGTGTGTGTGTGTATGTGTATGTGTATGTGTATGTGTATGTATGTATGTATATATGTATGTGTGTATGTGTGTAATTCTGTATGTGTGCAATTCTGTGTGTATGTATATATGTATATATGTATGTGTGTATGTGTGTAATTCTGTATGTATGTAATGCTGTATGTATGTATGTATGTATGCATGTACGCATGTGTGTACGTATGTGGGTGTGTATCTATGTATGTTGGTAGGTATGTAGGTTTGTATGCAGTTGTGTATGTATGCATGTATGTATGTATGTATGGATGGGTGGGTGGATGGATGTAATGTTTGTATGCACACGCAGTTATATATTTATATGTACATACATACATACATATATATATATACATGTACACGCATGTATGTATATACATGTGTGTGTGTGCAGACATGTATCTTCATGTGTATGTATACTGCGTATGAGTATATGTTGTAGTAAGTATATGGCTGTTATGTATATATATATGCACATGTCTATATTATATGCATATGGGTATGTATATGCATATGTAACTGTTTGCGCATGTATATACTCATTTAGAGAAAGATATACACACGTCTATCTATTTATATATACATATATATATATGTATGTATGTATGTATGTATGTATGTATGTATGTATGTATGTTATACATACATAAGTACATTCATACGTGCGTACGTCTATGCTTGCATACACATGTTGTGATCCGGTCTGTTGTTCACGTTGAGTTTCTGTTACGTTCCAGCATAACCGGTCCAGCATAGAGCAGCGCTAAGCATGGGCTTTCAACGCCTGAGCTAGTTTAGGTCTTGGGGGACTCGGGCCCAGGACCATGAAAGCTCATCCGGCTTGCAGAAGTTTAAGCAAATAGCATAACAAGTGACCCGAAGCAGCGAAGTTGGGCAACATCACTTGAGGGTCCATCGCTAAACACAAAAACCAGAGCGAGCTTTCGAGCAGAACTTAGCTTAGTTCCGATGATCCGGGACTGTGAAGCTGCCTCAAAACCACTGTAGGTTTTCTGAGCTTTAGAGTGCCGTCGAAATGTGTTGCGGCTCATGGGTTTTAGGCTTGAAGTTTGGACAGCAGGGTTTTAGGTGGAAGTGACGAGATGTGGGTTGAGCTAGACAGCGAAATCTCAGCAGAAATTCAGGGGATGGATAGAACATCTATTGAACATTTCAGGAGTGGTTTGGGATGCAGTTCCATGGTTGGCCGCAGAGTTCGTCTGGCACGGGAGGTTGATTTCGTTTTTGCGAGCTTTCGGTGCACAGTATGTGACCTTTGTGATACCCGATCCAGTCTCCTGCGCACCAGCCCAGGCAATACGACAACCGACGTCGCTATAATTATGACGATCGACGGCGCCATGACGACGGGCGACGCCGCTTCTACGACGCAGCTCCAGACCAGCAGCTGCGCTTTTATGGGATACAACTTCAATTTATCCTGGTCTTGAGGGTTTAGGGGTTTAGGGTCAGAATTAAGTCAGCGCCTCGCTACTGCGGGAGCCGAGGAATTAACCTCTCGAGCTGCGCGGTCAGAATAACCAAGTGCTCCTCATAGAATCAACGAGTGCAGACAGTCTGGGCACATGTTGGGGGAAATAGAGTGTCCTAAAGAGCAACTGCGTGCCACACTAGAAACCCTAAACCCTAAACCGTAGAATCCAGGCAGTATGAACCAGCCCGCGATCGGCACGGTCGGCCCTTGGTCTCTCCTGTTCTAGACGAGCCCACCACTACAGTACCTCGGCATGCATTCGACTCTGTCCGTCTAATAACTGGGTTTAGGGTTTAGGGTTTATAAGGTTTACGGTCTAGAGCACTCAGATGACATGAGCCATGCACTTGTTTATGTTCGTCTCTAGGTGTCGTAAATGCCTTAGAGGGCCCGAAACCTGAACCATGCCACAAAGGCCTTCTATGATCAACCGCGACGCTTACCGCCACCCATGCAGCGCCGCCTGAACGAGTTGGTTCCTGGCTTGCGACTTCTCGGACAACCTACGCCAGCACCCAGGGAGTACAACCCCAACGACTATGCGCCGCCAGCGCCCCGGGAGTACAACCCGAACGACTATGCGCCGCCTGGGCAGCCTCCGATTCGTCTCCTCCACCTCCCCCCCAGGCCCAGTTTTCTTGAGGCCAAGGCCAGGCCGCACGACATGCAAGAAGAGACTGAGCAGGACCCTGAGGAGTAGATTGACATGCGACAACTTGGGAGGCAAGAGTGAAAAAGACTGCCGACCCTTCTGTGCTGCGAGCTGCCTGAGTCTTGGTCACTGTCATCCTTCTCTCTATCGTCAATGTCATCTTCATCATCATCATCAGCAGCAGCATCCTCAGCATCATCACGACCATCACGATCTTCATGATCATCGTGATCGTCATGGTCACCATGACCATCTTGTCATCAGCAGCAGAATCATCGCGAGAAGCATCATTTTGCTCTTCATCCGACTCCGACTGGCTGCGGCGGTGGTAGCGCTGGTCGTAGTAGCTAAGCAGCAGCCATCCTATGACGTTCTATGATGAAAGGCAGCCCCTTGCTTTTAGGATCCACAGAATATAAGCCAAAGAAGGAACTACAATGGAGCCTATAGGTAGGCTGGTGCCGATGGGCCGGGACATTGCAGCCCTGTTTGTCTGCAAAGCCTCAAGCTGAAAACTCTGAGCCGGCGCCATCGGAACACAAAATCAACAAGTTTATAGGGTTTATAGGGTTTAGGGTTGCTCTTGTTGTTTTTGTGTTGCTATGATGTCGACTGTTATGTACCGAAAGAACAGAACCCTTTTGTTGGCTTGTTGGTGCCGCGGTTGTTCTGGCTCGCTCGAGTACTCATTGCCGCGGAGCGCCTTCTTGGGTGTTTTGGCCGCGGTGCCCTGGACAAACAAGGTGGCGTCTTTAAAAATTATAGGGCTTACGGGGTGCATTGTCTACGGTTCCTGATTCGGGGTCCTTATTCCTTCTATCCAGTGTCTATTTCGAGGTCCGCGATTTGTTTGTGAAACGCCTGGGTTATCCCCGAAGTACAGGGAGAAGCGCTGGCATGGATTCAAGACTTTCGGCATGCAGGCATAGGGTTTAGAGTCTAGGATGTAGGTTTAGGGTTTATAAGGTTTAGGGTTGTTTAGGGTTTAGGATTAGGGGTTGCTGCTTGTGCCTGTCGGTTCTACGTCCATCACGTTGAGGCTTCATGCTATAGGCACCATGTCGGTATTGTTTGTTCTTAAGAATCGTGTTTAGGGTCTAGGGCTAGGGTTTAGGGTTTACCTGGACCTCAAAAAACCTACCTTTTCAGGGCTCCTTAGTATGATTTCCTTATAAAAGTCCTTAAAAAGGTAGGTTCTTTGGGGTCTAGGTAGGGCTCAGGTACTTGCTAATTTTGTCCGAGCGACACTTGTTTAAGCTTCTTAGCGGCGCGTGGTGCACCAACTCTCGGAGCATGCTCCCTGCGCTCTGGAACCTTACACCCTATAAATCTATAAACTCTAAACCCTAAACCCTAATCAATCTATAAACCGTAAACCCTAATAGTCTAATGGTTCTATAAACCCTAAACCCTAATAATACCCTAAACCCTAAACCCTAATAACTCTATTATACCCTAAACCCTAAACCCTAATAAATCTATAAACCCTAAACCCTAAGCATCCCGCAGCTGGTAAGCCCTAGAAGATATCCTGAAGAGCAGGGCACAGAGCCTTTTTTTTTCGTAGCTTGTTGCAGACCTTCAAAAGTCGCTTATTTTTTGGGGAAAGTTACTTTGAAGTCTAGTCCCTGCGATGATTTAAGGTATATTCCCTCATTAAGGGGATTTTGGGAGGTCTGGGCAGGGCACCCACTAGGGAGAACTATTTCTCAGTCCTCTAGCATTCTGAGACTTCAGAGACTTCAACAGCCTTTCATTGGGGAGTATACGGGTTTAGGGTTTACGGTTTTTAATTTGTACGTGATAGTCATCACGGATCTCCCGATAGCTTAATTTACCCAGGCGTCATGTAAATTGCGCAATTAAGCGACTTTTGGACTCTCAGGGGAGGCCCCCTCACCCGAACCTCGCAGCTTTACTTGGTGCATGCCCTAGACCTCAAAGCCCGATCGCCCAAATCTTAGTCTTAAGCCCTAAACCACAAACCCTAAACCCCCAAGCCTTAAACCCTAAACCCAGCGATTTTGAGTTTAGCGTCTGGTTTAGGTTGTGTGAAGTCCCGGAGCATGGTTTTAGCGCTGTTCGTAGTCCCGCAAGCGCAGAGGAAGTCACTGCAAAAGACTTGTTGGTGTTTAAGGTTCAGGGTTTAGGGTTTAGGGCTCGGAGTTTATAGTTTCGGGGTTTAGGGGTTTGGGGTTTGGCGTCACCGAGATGTGCAGGAGAGAATGGCAAATCCTATGCCCCCTCTGTGTGTCTGTAGCTTGCCTGAAATGTTACCAGCTTATAGAAAAGCCGGGAACCATATGACAGCCTGAACCAGAGCCAAGGTAACCCCAAACCCTAAACCCTGAACCGTAGCCAAGGTGCTCGTGGTTTGACAAACAGACACTCCTTCACTTATCGCAAGATGCTTAAGATCCCCATCCGACTCCTGCTGGTCGCTCCGCGCGCTTGGTAGGGTTTAGGGTTTAGGGTTATTATATTACTATATTACTATATTAATATATTATGATATTCTGATATTATGACATGATGATATGATTGTATTATTACATTATTATATTATTATATTGTTATATTATTATAGTATTTTATGATATTATGATATTATTATATTATTATATTATTATACTGTTATGTTAGTGTATTGCTATATTGTATTATCATATTGTTTTATTTTTTGTTGTATTATTATTATTATATTGTAGTATTATATTATATTGTTATATTCTTATATTGTTTTGTTATCATATTATTATATTATCATACTATTATATTATCATATTATTATATTATCACATTATTACGTTATTATATTATATTATTATATTGTTATATTA